TCTTTTCAAATTAATTTTATATAGTTCTCTAATGTTTCCTGCCTCATGTGTCTGATTATATTGAATGTACTTAGTGGAAACTATGATAAAGTAGATAGATAGATACCCCCCCCAGAAATTATGATGATAATAGCATTAAGAGAATGAAGAAGACTTTATGCCAAGTTCTCCCTGTCTTGAGTACTTTATCCCCCCCAAGACTTCTCTAAGACTGTCATTTCCTGCACTTGCATTCTCCAGATACACCCAAACTTGATATACTTTTGTCATGTGGACATAGACACACTACTGATTTAGTTTAACGAGTTGTTTGTGTGTGTGTTTGTGGTTAGGAAGATATCCATTTGGAATTATGGGTATCTGTTTTTTCTTGTTGAAAGCCACATACATAAAATTTTCATCTGTTAGTCAAGTCCCTATACCCTGCTTCATATGCTTATTATGTCACTCAAGGCAAAATTGCTTAAATATGCAACTTGATAAGTCTGCTGTAGCCACTTCAGTCTTTCATATTGGACCACTTTTGAAGTTACAGTGTTCTTAAAACTTGGATATTGAAAGTGTTTGTTAGTTTGAAATAATGCATAATATGACAAGATAATGCTTATAATGAGAAATAATTGGATTTGGTAGTTCTCAGGTGTCAGAGACTAGATTTCTGAAAGAGGATGATTGTGATTTATGAAATATAGTAAATGCTGGAAATAAGATTAAAACTATTTACGGATTTTATTGTCACATGTAGCTCAGATGATGATGGTAAGATGAAGATTATTTAAACTGTAGATTTTCAACAATGTAGTGATTCAGATTGTTTTTGTTTACAGGTAATATTCCTTTAAATGTGTTATTCATAGATTCAAAGATCACTTTGTGCCTCTTTCTTTGATAGATAGTCGGTATCTGCAGGTACATATATTAACAGAGATTTTGATAATGCACTTGATACTAATGGCATTACAGAGATGATTAATCTTTATGATTTATTATGCAATGCTATGTAAACAGATTGGATTGGAAGAAAAGAACATGATATTGTTTGTTTTTCATAATTCACTGCATAGGAGCACTTGTAAATATTGTACAGTAACATTATCAATCATACAATCTTATTTTATTTATTTTGATATATAATGTAAATATTCCTTTGATATGCTGCTATCCTCACTGCTTTGCTATACATTCCATTACAATATAAGTCCTCATCATGCTTTCAATATACAGAACTTTATGATGTAAAATGTAATACAAACAGAATGGCAAGGAATTGAAAGAGTGCTTGAACTACTATATATAGCTTAATGCTTTACCAGAATGCAGCCTTGCTTATGGCTGCAGGAAGAATGAAGCAATTCTGTAAATGTAAGTGTTAGCTGACGACAACAGTGAACATAATGGACTGTGTCTTCATTTACAGAACTGCAACATATTCCGAGAAGCTCCATTTATTGCAGGGTAAGATTTCAGTGTAATGTAGTGATAATATTTTACCCAACCTTTTTTAGACCTAACCTCCTGTCCTGACCTAGAGGCTGCACCTCATACCTGGTCCGTGAAATTACCCAGAGCGAACATACTGGCCAGCATTCCATTGTCCAACTTCTACCGATTTGACTTACCAATGTCGGTGTACATTAGAGAAGGAAATGATCAACGTATGTATAGTGAATGCTAGGCTCTTCACCTGCAGTATCTGTTGAAGAATGCCCCATATAGTATTGCTTTAGAAAGATATTCTATAAAAAAAAACACCATAAGTTTGTGCGGTTTGAGCAATTTCTGATTACTAAGCTTATTTGTTAAAGCTCTTTACTCTTTAATATTCATATCCTTTATACTGCATCTGTTCATGAAATTGGAATCCCCTTGGTCATAAAAAGCATTTAGACAGTCAACCTTCACTTCCGATCATTTAACAGGTATCCTGTCTCATCTTCACCCCCATATGATCCCTGAGCAGAGTAGATTGTTCTATATGCTACCCCTGATTGAAGCACAGGGGAAAGCAGATGTGTTATTTGCCCCCTCCCCCCTCCCCTTCCATGAAGTCTGCCTCCTGGGTCACCAACACAAAATGGGAAATTATGATGATAATGGCCACTATGTTGATACACACTGTCTGTTTATCCGTAGGTTTAGTACTCTGTGATTCACATACACGTCATGACACACATTTTTCTCTTTCCTAGCATCCTGTAGTGCATCCCTTATTAGTCTTTCTCGTATATCTTGCTTTACTCTCTGTATCTTAGCTGTTTGTGGCTGATATGTAATCCAGGGCATATGTTTCTAACCTGTATTTTCAGATGACATCAAAAGATCAGCATTTTTACAGTGTATTGCATTGAATGTGTATCTTGTTAAGTTAAGTTGTTAACTTTGTCACTTCATTCAGGATATACAAAAATATATTTTGGGGGCTAGCTACTGACTGTTTTCAGGACTGACTTACTCTCTTCCTGATGCTGCAGACGATTTCCATGACTGAATGACTGCTTTTAAATGCAGGGATATTTCAACATTACATACAAGGATTTTGGTGCTGATTTGTTCTAGAAAGCAGTTACGATGAAGGGGATAATTATGATAGGGAGCTAATGAAGTTTTTAAATATTTTCCCCAACATCTGAGTTTGTGAAACAAGATTTGGTCAGTGTTAAGAAGATGAAGACTTTTTTTTTTTTTTTTTTTTTTATCTAATTGCATTGGAAAGTACAGCAATTTGTGTTGGAAGACCTATAGTTATAAGATCATCTTGATGGTGGCAAAATGGTAAGGGAGCCCTGCAGCCTTCAGCAAAGGCCAACAAATCTTCATATTGGTTTGAAGAATGATATATGTTTAGACCAAATGTTCTGTGAGCAGTATCTCTAGAAAATGTGCAACTGTGATTGTCCATCATGGTATGAATTATTTAGACGAACATTTGTTTTTGTTATCTTCCTCAGAGTATACATATATATACAGGAGCCTTGATTTACCTTAATAAACACTGGTTCACTGTGGATATTAGCCTAGCAACAAAGAAAAGTTGATAGATAGCTTTTTTTTTTTTTCCAAGAAAAAACTTTTTAGGAATATATTGCAAGTACCAAAATTTTACACACTCACTCACTCACTCACTCTAAGTTTTTTTGTATGTGTTTTTTTTACACGATATTTCCCTAAGGGGATGTGTTATACTATGAACCATTATCTGTGTATCTTTTCTTTCTTTTCCTTTTTCTTTTTTTTCCCCCACACACAACTGATTTATTTCTTCTTGGATTCATCTGTCATTTAAGGTGACACAAGAAGAACCATGGTTCTGCCCAGTCAGTCTCCCTGTGTAGCAGGTAAGGCAGCAACAATCTCACTAGGATGGAGACGGCAAGGAGGATTTTTTAATATTCCTAACACTCACTATAGGAGTAGATACTCACACAGTGAAAGGGACAGACATTTATGTAGAGTTGTGGTTTTCCTAATGCACGCACTGAAGGTTAGTTAGCAAGTCTCGGAGGTATTCTCACAGGAGATATAACATGGTGAAGAGTACTAAGAGAGGCTTGGCAAAGTAAATAACTCTGTTGCACTCATAATAACATGCACTTAGGAGTGTATAGGAGCAGTGTACAGAAGGGTTTGTGGTACTTTTGAGGGATTAATTTTCAGAACGATTGAATGCTATCCACAATTGCTATCCATAATATTTATTGAATTACATGATGTATTTTATATTATTTGTGTTTTTATGAAACTTTTTTTTTTCGTCATCTTTGAACGAACCTCATTGTCACAGATAAAGAAAATGTAATGAATAAAAGTAAATAATTTTACTCAATAAGATGTATTTGATGCATTTCATTTAAATTTTCAACATTAGTGAATATTTAATGAAAAGGTATCAAATATGTCTCTGGTGCTGTGAAGTTGATTACTTTCATTCATACCTTTTTCTCCTCCTTTTCTTTCTTGCTGCAGCTTGTTTCTTTGCAAGAGAAAAATATTTATCAAAACAAAATACATTAACAATTGAACAAAACTCCAATCATGCAACAGATTCGTTAATATGTGTCTGATCTTAATTTTGAACTTGATGTCCTGATAGTTGATTGTTTAAAGCCGATGATTAGCAGCCAGGAAAAACATGGCGTCCTGTAAAGAAGGCAGCAGTTAGGACTTCTTCAAGAATAGGGACTATAAAGAGTCGTACTCTCTGTATTAAACATGAGGTTTGAGTCAATTATTGAGATTTACAAGTGATTATTATTTATTCTTATTTTCATTAATATTGTTTGTTTTTTCATGGCCTGGTGATATGAAGAGAACTTTATTCTTAGATTTTATAGCTTACCATTAACATTCTTTTGTTGATATAGTCCTTTTATCAAAATTGTATGTGTGCGTACATGAGCTGAAAATAACCATACCATACTAATATTGGATATTCGACTTTTGTAAGAGTGTGCACTCTCAAAGGAACGGCAGTAAATAGGACTTGGGAGAGCTCATTGAGGCTGGCATTAATTACCATGTGGTGGTAATAGGTCTGTATATAGTCAACAAGAACAGTGACAATGTTTGACACGGACAGTCATAAGTTCCCCAAATGGCATGCTGGCTTTTGTGATGCAGCCACTTGTAGTCTTTTGCCTTTTTCTTTCTTTTCTTTTCTTTTCTGGTAATGTGTTTGATTTTTGGGTGGTTCCTGGCATCTTGGTGTGCCTGTGTGCTGCCAGAGGGAGAGAGAGAGAGAGAGATTAACCTGGCATTAATTTTCTTTTGTTAAGGCCTCAAGTTACCTGTTCACTTCTGATGAAAAGTTTATTCCTCAGTATGATGTTATTTATAATGTATGTTTGTTTTGAGTTTGGGGTTATTAGTGAAAACAAGTCTTGCAGAGTGATTACTTTGGATGTGGTAGTAAAATACACATACTCTCACAGATTGTAGTAGGGGGAACAGTTAAGTGTGTCCTGCAGAGCAACAATTTCTTTATATTATAGAAAAAAAGGTAA